CATACTCATGAAAACAGAATTATACAGTTCATTTGAACTCAAAGCCAACCACAGCCAAAATTTACAGTATGATTAAAACAAGCTAATGTTTAAACACTTTTCATTAAAGACAATTCCATGAAAGGAGAGGGTAAAGAATGGGATGACAAGAAGTATTTGGTCTTAATAAGGCAATACAAAATCGATCAATTATCAAAGACCATTTAATTTTTAAAGATTGACAATACCAAAAGCATAGAGTATAAGAAAATAGTTTTCATGAGTATGATTTAAGTACAGCTGTTTACAGCTAACTCCCCCACAGTAGAAGGCAGGAGCTCAGACAGAATGAGAAGAAAGCACAAGCACACAGTGCACAGGGGCAGAGGAGCCAGCATGCCAAGTCTGCGGGGCTGGAGGTCTGTGGCAGCAGCAGCTCAGGCCCAGGGCGGCCTTCTGCTTCCTATGAGGAAGAAGGGAGGGGGAGAGACTGCAAAGGAAACAAACCCAAAGTCACATCACTGCCCAGCGTCTAAGACGACACATTGTGGAGAACAGTTATGAGTCTAGATGAGTTATGAGAATAGATGTCTAGAGGTTGTTCAGTGTATACACAAAAGTACACAATAATTTTTTTACAAAATAAAATAAACATCATTTGCCAACATAAACCTTTTCTTGAGAGACGAAAGAATTTTGCAGCAAGTCACAAGGGTTCAACGAAGTCATTTCAATGCTGAGGAAAATAAACAGTAACAGAGCTAATCACTTCCCTGCGTATGGTTGTTAGATGACAACTCAGATTCTTCAAACTAATCCTGAGAAAAAGTCTGTTTACAATTCAAACAGTAATGTTATGTAAAAAGTATTAACAAATCCACTATTACAAATATCAATTTCCTATATGGTCTTCTATATATACACACAATAAAATGGCAAATATATGCAAAATTATTTTTAAAAAAAACATGCACAAATCACTTTCCCTCTTGGAATCTGGACTTCCTATAAGATACGTTTGTTTGCCTTCCCACCCCATCCTCTTCAATTGTTTTTGTTTCTATCACCCTACCCACACTGAATACTATTCCCTATAACTCTGCATAAAGCCAATGAGAAATATATTTATTTTACATTCAAGCTTTGAATCTTACAATGACCCTGTTGTAGCACACGACCTATCAGATAAGCAGCCTTTTTTCCCCCTTTTTTGCTTGTTTTTTGTCTTTGCAGTTGTCAGTCTTCATGATCCATTCCGTGGCGAGCTGGGAAAAAACGCAGTTGCTAAATCAATGTCTCAACAGTGTGAGGCTCCTGATGTCCCAGGAGTCCCTGTGCCTGTCCTGAGCATGAGATCATTGCACACAGAAGACAGTCCATCGCACAGCGCCAACTATCTACAAAGGTCAGAGAGGGGCGCGTCCCTCTTGTGTTTCCTCTTTTTGCCATGGTAATACTGAGTATTGGATTTGCCTTGATGCTGTTTGCTTGTCATCAAGGAACCGTGGCTTGTTTGAGCTGTACCTTGGAAGCCTTTGCTGGAAGAACGGAAGAGCCTTGCTGATCCATGCTGCAGAAAAAGAAAGCAGTCACAAACACGTCAGTGCTGCCGACTGCAAACCTGAACACAGGACAGCTTTCAGAACTAGAAACAGGCAGGCAAGCCACTGACTACTCACTTTTCTAGAGGCCAGATAAAGGAGGACTAAAAGTGGCTATAAAGTTTTTAAAGAACAGAGCACCAGTTTACAGCATGTGCGGAGTACACAAGTCTTCTCAAAGATCCCTACCTCATGCCAGGTAGTATTACCGGAGGAGGCTGAAGATCTGTGAGGCTGTGCAGGCAGGCAGGGGCAACATGCTGGCTACTCCTTTCCTGCTCCTGCTGTCAGCCGTAGCGTCCTCCTGATACCTGTCTTTCCGTCAGCCCTGTCACTAGCATTGTTGTCACTCCCTGCACCTGCATTTTGTGTCTGTGGCTACGGTGGTGGCAGTACAGTGGACCTGGCAAGTCAAACCAGGCAGATGGGAACAGTAACCTCTACTATCAAGAGGCCTTTCCCCAGGGTCCCCACTAAATCTGGAGAGGATGAGGGAACTTATGCCAGAGCCCAGTAACAAAGGCTTCTCCCCTCTCCTGATGCATTACTCATGACTAGTAATCATCTTAGGCAACTAACTTAAAAACAGTTAAAACAGACTATCTCAAAACACTAAAGACCATCTCTGTGGCCCATTTAAATCAAAGCTAATACTGATCAACTGACTTGTCTCCTAGTTGCCTGACAATTAGCACAGGGAACAAGTTTCAAATATTAACAAAGGATAGATATATTGTTTTAGGTATAAACTTCATAGTCTATTTCAAGCACAACTGTGATGACTGGTGTGCTCTTCACTTAGCTACATCCTCAGCCCCAATGCAGTTTTTTATGCTGAAGGTGGTTTGGCTGACACTAAGACCTTAAAAAGGGGGCTGGAGAGATGGCTCAGCGGTTAAGAACACTGGTTGTTCTTGCAGAAGACTTGGGTTCGAATTCCAGCACCCACATGGCAGCTAACAACTGTCAGTAGCTCCAGTCCCAGGGGATCCAACACCCTCTTCTGACCTCCTCGGGTATTGCACAACACGGGTGCAACTACCTACATGCAGGCAATACACGCATGCACACAAAATAAAAAACAAATTTTTAAAAAGACCTTAAAAAGTCCCACAAAGATTTGTCAAGATGGTATCTATAGAAGCGTCAGGACATCCTGGTTCTAGAAGCACTGTTGTACTTTGGAAACTCTTCTGACAAAATAGTTTGCTCTTTAACCAAGAGATTTCTTCAAATCCATGGCAGCCACTCAATATCTAAGAAATTCTATTTGGTACTGAATACTAACGATGGCAAGCACAAATTCTACCCACCTGGGATTTGTTGGTGCTGTTGGGTGTGTTAGTGGTTTGGGTGCTCTGCATTTTCCCAACTGCCTGTGAGGCCTCCAAGGAGACATCCTGTGAGCCTACTCGGTTGCCAGTGGGCGGACGACAGAGTAGCTGTTTTGGGGTTTTGCATGGTGTTGCATCGGAATCCTAACACAAGTCACATGGGTTACAAAACAATGTATTACATAGTCCTCAGAAAGGAAATGATTTTAGCTAAGTACTCTCTTGTCTATACTGACACATGTGTAAGCTAATGAGGCCCTGAGCTTTGAAGAATGAACTGCAACAGTTTTCCTTCAAATGTTGTGGTGTGTGTGTGTATGTGTGTGTATCTGGTGCATGTACATATGTATGTGTACATGTGCATACAGCCTAGGGCCAGTGGTGGGCTTGGCGTGTCTTACTCTGTCACCCTCCCCCTTCTGTTTTAAGACAAGGTCTCACATTGAACTAGAAGCTTGCTATTTGGGATAGGCTGGTTGGCCAGTGAGCTCCCAGGATCCTTTTGTCTCTGGCCCCCAATGCTAGGATTACAAGCATACATAGCCATGCCTGGATTTATGTGGGCTCTGGGGATTTGAACTTAGATCCTCTTACTTGCACAGCAAGTATTCTTTCCCACTAAGCCATTTCGCCAACTCTTCTTCCAAACTTCTTAAGAGGCCTATTTTACCATGGGCTTCTGTTCAGTGCCAAGACTACTACCCACATCTGGTTGACTTGTTAACTGGTTATGAAAAGACCTACATGAGGACTCAGTTGAGCTTTTATGTATAACAAATCACAGAACCATGGAAGACCATGGTAAAAAGGGAGAGACTTAGGTCTCAGGCCTGGCTCAATGTCTTCAATCAGATACAAGTGACAGGTTTAAGGCTCAATCTGAGAGTCTAACGATGATGGGCACGTCGTCTGAGCCCCATATGCTTCTTGGCTGCTTCATATGAGAACACTTCCTGGCATACCAGAGTCACAGTCAGTCCCTAATCTCCTCTCTCAGGCTGTTTCTATTCCTACCCGCTGCACCTTTGTCTGGGGTATCTAGTGTGGCATTCATTTCCTCCTCCAGAGCACCACTCCAGAACCCACAGACACATGAATATTTACGACTCCATCAACAACAAAAAATTAGGTTGCTTATACATTTAATATTTTTTAAAGACAACTACTATACCTCCCCAGGCCCCTAATATTACAGATTACAGTCAAATTTCAAAAAACAGGTAAGCCAACTTTATATCTTAAGTAACCTCAAAATTTACTTTGACAAAGAAAATTAATGTAAGATGTAACTGACCACAATGGAGATAGAAAGTAGATTAAAGGTTAGGGAAGAGAAGAACTGGGAGGGACTACTAAAAACACAGGGGTTGTGGAAACATTCTTGAATTAAGAGTGATAATGGTTGTATAACACTGAACTGAACTTTAAAAAAAAAATTTTATTTTATGTGTATGAACGTTTTGCCTACACCCATGCATGTAGTGCCCGCGGAACTCACAAGAGGGCCTCAGATTCCCTAGAAATGGAATTAGGGATGGTTGTTAGTTACCACAGGAGTGCTGGGAACTGAACGTGGGTCCTCTGCAAGAGCAACTGGTGTTTATTTGTGTATCTCTGTGTGTCTCTGTCATATGTGTACAGCTGTCCACAGAGGCCTGAAGAGGGTATCAGATCCCCTGGAGCTGGAGTTACAGGCAGCTGTGGTCTAGTCTATGTGGGCACTGGGAGTGCTGAATTGTACTTCTAAATACTGCATTTTCTGCTATGCAAATTACATCTCAACTTTTCTCAAAGTATATCTCAATATTCAATTAGGAAACTCAAAAACACATGAAAATAAAAACAAGCTTAATAAAGTAAAAGAAATCTTACAAAAACATTGTGTGATTACATTTATATATAAATTCCCAGAACAAGTAAAAGCAATGTTTGGTTAGAAACAGTAATATGGGGGTGGGGCTGGGGACTATTAGTCATGAGGCATCTCCTGGGTTGATGGGAACATGTTCTTCCATACTAGAGCTCTGGGTGATAAGTGCAAGCATTTGATAAAACTTAGCATATGACTAGGATTCCTTTAAGTCCATATATGGAAGTAAAATGTATAACCTAATTAATTGAAATCCAATTAACAGAGGCTTGGGAGAAGTGTGGCCATATCTGCAACGTACTCTGATCGAAGAACAGGATGAACCGGTGGGCAGAAGGCCAACAATACAGTGAATGTTAATGGTGGCATGCAGTGGTTATGTACTTCACTTCACTATGCTCGAAATTTTTCTTCAAAAAATGTTGAGAAAAAGTATAAGAGTGAAAGTTATGAAAATTTCCCCTAGTGGGGAAAGGAAGCAGCCCTTGGCTCTGTGTAAGTCACCCAACAAGACAGCAAGCAAGGTATCCAGAGTAGGGACAGCGTGTCCTACTTACGACGTCGCTAGAGCTGGACTGCGTGGCGGAGGAGGAGGACACTGGACCTGATGAAGAGTTTGAAGAGTGTTTACTAAGAGATTCCGAGGCTTTACTTCTACATTTTCCAAGGGCTTCATTTTCTTCAGACAGATTATTATTACATTTATCTAACTGCTGAGTATCTACTATCAAGGTAACACCATTTCCTGAAAGAGTGGCAAAAGATTGGAAAACGTTTCTTCCCATTAAATACACACAACACAGAAAAGCCTCTAAGAGGTCCATCATCAAGGAAAAGGTCTTACCGTTGCATGACAGCTCAGACCGGTTCTGCAAGCCCCACTGCTTTGATATCCAATCTCTGTAAGTGGCAACTTCATCCGTCACTCTAATTATTCTACCTAATATGCTGCATCAGGTCAAAACAATAAAAGGAGGGGTACATTAACTTGAAGATAAGGAGCTATGACCCCTTTTGACACAATGGGCTGATTTGGGCTAGACTTTTACCTCTCTGTTTCATTGTTGGGATAGTACTTTGCAATTGGCGAAACAGCATGACTCAATACCACATAGGCATAATCAAAGGCCTGTTTCACTTGCATGGCCCCATAGGAACTCCTTCCAACATCATTACCTTTAAAAGAAATGGACATACAGAGAAGCAAGCTTGAATGCTGACATGAGTGCCTGCTGAGAGCAAGCGCAACACCAGAAGTGGCTGTCAGTCACGCCCTCAGCTAGCCTGTCTCTGAGCATGTACTCAGTGTTTTAGTATGGTACACCCACTGCCCACATATACTCAGGTCATGGATTCTTCTGTCACAGAAACCAAGAAACAGCTGCCTGTTCTCTCCGTAGAATGAAAACTGCGAAGGGTGTTTGCTTAATTTTTGTTTGTACTTAAAAAAAATTTTTTTTAACTTTTTTAACTTTATGTACATGACTGCTTTGCCTGCATGTATGTTAAGGGCACCAGTGTCATGCAATGCCCATGGAGGCCAGAAGAGGGCAATGGATCCCCCAGAACTGGAGTTAAGGACAGTTAGCTGAGCTATCTCTCCAGCACTGTTTGGTTGTTTGTATTAGCTATATACATAGTTCTTATATTATAAGCAAACACAACTTTGTGAAAGTATGGAAAGAATTTGCCTTCTGTTTACTTTTAAACCCCAAAGCTTGAAAAGCATAGGAGGGCTGTGTGAAGTTAAAAAACAGGGTCAAAACATAAATGAAAAGTAGTCTCCTGGAACGTTCCTGCTCATGAGCTCAGATGGGCCTCCATCTCACTGCTGTCTAAGGACTTCACTCCCTTCCTTGAAGTCCTGCTGACAACTGGCTGGAGTTGGCAAGAAGGACCCAATGGTGCTGGAGACACCCACAAACCCACCCAACAGTGAACCCCTCTTCTACTTGTCTTTCAAATAGATCCTACCCCCAATTCATCTGGAAGTCTGCAAGGCGTTTTTTTCTGGGTGTTAGTCACTTTATTTGCTAAGAAAATATTCTGAACAAAAAGGTAAGTCCAATTAAAAACTGTCCTTCATGTTTCACCTAGAGAGTATAAAGCACAAGCCGACTAGTGATGCCCTCTCTGAAGCCCACAAATTTACCTAATTTCAATACCTGGTTGTAAAGGATCTTCAATATAAAGCATTGATGGCCGGTAGCCATCTAGCATATTTTTCTGTACTTCATCTTTGGCCACATATGAACCACCATCTTTTATCCGAATGCCAGTCTTTAAATAATTAAAGTGTCGTCCATATAATTCAAAAAACTCTATTAAGAGAACACCATAGTTTGTATTGGGGATGCAAGCATCTTCCCTGGGATGTAACTAAAAACAGAAAAAAAGAAGGAAATTATTTTGGATTTTCTCTATATTATCAATCAGGGAGGGGATTTAAGTAGCATCCTAACTTCTATAAGCAGTATTATAATTTTGGTTTACAATACAGTCAACGGATACAAAAATAATCACAGTCTATGCTGCTGCTATAAACAAAACCATGCAATGACCCCATGGGTACAGACAGGCCATTTTGTCTACCACATCAGGAAAGTCACCTTACTCAGTAGAGTCTGGCTGTTGGAAATCATTTCCACACAGACAAGACTAAATAACTTATCTTACCCAAACAACAGGTCACAATTCTAGCTGAACTTATATGGTGAGCTGTTTAAAATATAGTTTTAGTGTGCAAGTGTGTATGTGTGTACACATCCACATGTTACATGCCTATTGAGGCCAGAGTTTGATGTCAGGTGTCTTTAACCACTTTCTCTGTGTGTGTGTGTGTGTGTGTGTGTGTGTGTGTGTGTGTGTGTGTGTGTGGTGATGGTGATGGTGGTGGTGGTGGTGGTGATGGTAGGGATCAAACCTAGGGCCTTATACATGCTAGGTAAGCGTACTACCACTGAGCCACATCCCTAGCCCTTCACCTCACTTTTTGAAACAAGGTTTCTTCACTGAACCTGGAGCTCACTGATTGGTTACCAGGGAGCTCCAGGCAGCCCCTTATTTTTGGCATTTATACTAATGTATACTTACAGAAACCCAGTCATACTGCTTTTTAACACGCAGTGCCAAGTCTCATCCTCTACCCTAGGAGTTTTAATACTTATTTGCTAAATTCTAAGAAAGTACCTAGTTTAAAGGGAAACATTCCAAAAAAGTTTAAGTTTTTCTCCCAGTGTCTATAGCTTTTTACTCTGTTAGTTACACTGGTATAACTTACCTGAAGGAAACTGACTGCCATTAGAAAGAGACTATAAGAACCAATTCCACCAGTAAACACTTCATTAAGGTCCCTCTGTAATAAGAATTGTTTCAATACTAAAACCAAGTATGGCAATACAGGATATTTCTGAAAAAGAAATAAAATGACATTTTCAATGAATTTCTGTATCTGTAAAAACTCTAAACATTACCATGAGTGTAAACTGGTCCTTACATCACCAAATTTGGTAGAGACGTGCAAAATACT